GAAAACAAAAATATTACATCAATATTAAAGTGCTATTAAGTGGTACGCGAAATTTACATGAAACAGGTACTATTTCATTTTCGGCATAATTCATGTATAAACTTTATATTTTTGATTTAGTTTGAGTCTTCCAATTCGTGAATATTGAGTAATGTTCGGGTTTTAATCCAATCAAATTCAAATGCCTGTAACAAGTCAGGAATATGACAGTTGTTTTCCATTCGTTTGATGTGTTTAAGCTGTTGATTTTGCCAATTGTTAAGGGACTTTCCATTTTGAATTTTCCTTTGAGTTCGGTATTTTTGTTGTTTAATTTTTTATTCAACAAAAATGACTAAAATTCACTCTGTTTTGTTTTTCGGTATTTTTCTTTCTTTCGGGTTATAGGGTTTTATCTTGTTTTATTTCTTAAGGGCCTTATTTTTCATTTTATTAAAGAGGGTGGTGAAGGGTTATTTTCGTGCAACGTGTTTTGCCATTTTTATTTCACGTGCAGCCTTGAAAAAGGTTCGTTATTCACCGTGTTTCGTGAAATCGGTAAAAAGATCAACGTGCAAGAAATTTCTAAATGTTCGTTCATCGTGAAATGACAATTTTATTTCGCGTTCTTTCGTGTAGATACCCCCCCCCTCCCCCCTTTACGCCCCTCATTAAACTAAGATATGTGTGGGAAAAAATTCTGCTTGTTCTTTAATCTGTATTTTCAGCATAAGGTTTGTCTGTTTTATACCTTTATTTAAAGCAAGATATGATATGACCTTCAGTTTCCTCATTTTACCTCATATCACGAATAATAAGTCTGCACAAAACTTACCGCGGACTGTATCATTCTTTCAATTTATCGATTAAATAACGAAAATTGGAAGGAATATACAAAAGAATATTGTTTGCTTACTTTCAGGGACAATTTCAAAAATTGACTACCATATTTACGAACATGTCGTTTTTTTCATACATATTTATTCACATTATCAAGATTTAACATAAAGGAAAGGAGGTGTCTTATGATTGCCAATGAGACAACAAACAACATTGAGGACGTTGCTATAAGCAACTAAATGTCATCGTATGACATTTAGTAACAAACAAAACCTATATCATATCTTAAGGCTCGATGATAGCAAAATGTGAAACAAGGACCGAAGATACCAAAGGTAGAATCAAAACTCAGTCAAAAGGAGACTGACAAAATCATAGTAACAACAAAAAAAACACTACGAAAAGACAAACAACAGTCTACAAAACGTTTAAACTTTTATATAGAATGAGTAACATAAACCCCACCGAAAACCGGGTGATATCGGGTGTTCCTTTAGGTAAGTATATTCTGCTCCACATGTGGCATATGTCGTGTTGCTTATCGTAAGGACCAGTTCGATGTTAAGTCTCATTTGGTTATGTGACAATGGAGAGGAGACGGGAGAATGGCTACTTCAACTGAAACATATCCGTGGTCATCTGTGACACAGAGATTCCATTACGGTCAACAAATGTATGACGGCGACTTCAACTTTACGACTTAGAATCCTTAGTTCAATAGATTCATTGTTAGCAGTGACCCTCTATCAAGAAAATCATGAAAGGAAACGCAAGATCTAATATGTGGTATCAACAAGGAGATATTTGAGATATTTAACAAATTACAATCACTGCTTGGATTTTTCTACATGGAAATGGTAAACTGCTAATTGAAAGCCAAAATCATCTCTTTTGTCGTAAAGTTTTGTTCGCAACCGACCCCCATTGTTAATTTCTAAATGTGGGTCAAAATATAAGGCAGACTTAAAGGGACATTAGTTAAGAAATTGACAAAAATTAGAATATGATTTTTTTTGTTTCAAACAGCAATAAAAACGGAATTATACTTTAATATTTCGCTAGTCAGTTTTGTTCAATTTTGTAAAAAAAATTTAAAAAAAACATCGAGGATGATTATTGGATTGCAAGTCAATAATTCAACACATTTGAATCCGTATTCATGATAACTTCAATTTGACTTTTAACTGGGGATGAGTTACGCATTGGCTAATATTGAAATAAGAAGATGTGGTATGATTACCAATGAGACAACTCTCCACCAAAGACCAAAATGACATAAACGCTTCCATCTATATACCAAGAGTGCACACGCTGAAATGTCTCGCCAGTTTTACTGACCATTGATTTTATGTTGAAAGTCTTAAAGATAAAGGTTTATCTACAAGTATCATATAAACTTAACATTTTTAAAGATCCATGACCATGATGTCAAGGTCAGATAAAAACTGTCAAACAGACAAGTATACCTTACAATCATTCCATACACCATATATAATTGACCCATTGCTTATGGAAATTGTAAAACAGACCAAAACACAAAAACTTAACGTTAACAAATGAACCATGAAAATGAGGTCAAGGTCAGATGATACTGGCAAGACAGACATTTACACCTTACAATCATCCCATACACCAAATATAGTTGACCCATTGCTTATGGTAATTGTAAAACAGACAAAAACACTAAAACTTAACGTTAACCAATGAACCATGAAAATGAGGTCAACGTCAGATTATACTGGCAAGACAGACATGTACACCTTACAATCATTTCATACACCAAATATAGTTGACCTATTGCTATGAGTATATGAAAAACAGACCAAAACACAAAAAATTAACATTGACCAATGAACTATGAAAATGGGGTCAAGGTCAGATGACACCGGCTAGACAGACATGTACACATAACAATCATTCCATGAACTAAATATAGTTGACCAATTGCTTATAGTACTTGAAAAACAGACCAAAACACAAAAACTTAACATCGACCAATGAACCATGATAATGGGGTCAAGGTCAGATGACTACGGCTAGACAGACATGTATACCTTACAATCATTCCATACACAATTATAGTTGACCTATTGCTTATAGTACCCGAAAAACAGACCAAAACACAAAAAAGTAACAATGACCAATGAACCATGGAAATGAGGTCAAGGTCAGATGAAACCTGCCAGTCAGACATGTACCCCTTACAATCATTCCATACACGACATATAGTTGACATACTGCATGTAGTATCTGAGAAACGGACCTAATCACGTAACTTTAACCTTGATCACTGATCCATGAATTGGTCGAGGTCAGGTGAAGGACATGTAGACGTTGCAAGTAACCCATATACCAAATATATTTATCCTATGACTCATAATAAGTGAGAAATTCATATGACAAAGAAACTTTAATTTTTTTTCAAGCAGTCGCTGAACCATGAAATTGAGGTCAAGGACAATGGGCATATGATAGACGGAAACTTCGAAACATAAGGTGTCTGCATACAAGGTATGAAACATCCAGGTGTTCTACCTGCTGAAATATAAAGCTTTATACAAATAGTTTACGCCGCCGGATAGTAATATCTATGTCTCGCATACTGCGACTTTCGTTGCAGGCGAGACAAAAATAAGGAGATGTGGTATGATTGCCAATGAGACAACTATCCACCAAAGTTCAAATAAAGTGGTAAGCAATTATAGGCAACCGTATGGCCTTCAACAATGAGAAAACCCCATACCGTATAGTCGGCTATAAAAGGCCTGGACATGAAAAATATGAAACAATTCAATTGAGAAAACTAACGGCCTAATTTATAACCAAACAATTTACGAAAAACAAATATGACAGACGTAAACCAACGACAACCACTGAATTACAGGCTCCTGACTTGGGTCAGGCACATAAAGAATGTGGCGGGGTTAAACATGTTTGTGAGCGCTCAACCCTCCCCTAACCTGGGACAGTGACGTAACAACACAATATAAGAACAAACTATATAAAATCAGTTGAAAAAGGCTTAACTCATCAGATCGATACAAAGAAAAACATCAAACTAAAACACAGAGTGGACGTGGCAGGGTATATATCCATCCCTCATCCATAACAACAAAAAAGTACAGATCTGAAAGTATTCGCAGTTCACCGTACAGCCTTCAAACAAGCATGTTTGCATGTTTAGTTATTAAAAAGAAAAGATCCTGAACATTGAAAAGTGACACAAGGCAGCCACCAGGAAGATCCCTTTCGTTGGCTTTTCTGCCAGCCAAAAAAAACCATTTAAATACAGGTGAAACGATGTTTTTTTTTTCAATATATGACATGAAACCAAAAAGACCTAGAAAAATCGTCATCATACAATTGCACGTGCTTGCCTGTGTATTTATATTTATATTTATGTTTACATCAGGTCATCTGACCTTCGGAAATCTTCGATGATATTTACGATGGTTGATTAGATGGCGTCTATTCTATAATACACACAAAATTTTGGAACATATAAACGAGTATATGCATTGTTAGTTGTTAGAACTTTTTGCAATTTGGATAGACGTTTTAGTTTGTATTGATAAAATAAGGGAGATTAGAAGTTAAATCGGTGAACATGATTTTGACAGCTTATTCCTCTTTAATAGTGTCTGTGGTGTAAAGTTCGATAGGATAGTTGAGTCTAACAGGGTCGCTAAATTTTTGAGAGTTCTATCTACATAACGGAAATAATTCAAACGAGAAAACCAATGGCCTGCTCTTTGAAAAAACTATACACGAAAAACAAATATGGCGGACAGCAACAAAAGGCGTCCACTAATTTATAGACTTCTGACTTAACGCTATACTTCATAAGCAGCGGTGTGCATTTACAAAAAAACTGTTTTAACAGAGTCATGAGGAAGAACGACTGATATTTTACCAATTGTGACATTTTGGGTAAGTATGGATTCGCAAGGTAGGTAAGACATGCATAGCAAAAGACCATTACCCTGTCGACGCATCAGGTATCACTCCTTTTTGAGTCTTGAACATCGGTAAACTACTATGGCCTTAATTAATCCTATACTAGTACATGTATTCAACTCTTTTCTTAGTTGTATATACATAGAGCAATGAAAACTACGTCACTATTCCTCTGAACCGTAAGTGCCTCCTTAATGATTTACGTTAAGTATATATAACACAAGGCAGATATCTTTTGCAAAGTATGCATATGACTTACACTTCTAGTTGATATTTTACACGGTACATATTCACCAGCTATCAAATATGAAAGATCATACTCCGCTATTCGTTATGTTTATTGTTGTTGTTTTGACAATGCCAACGATAATTTTCGCAAAACCGTACAATAATTCAGTGAGTGATAGTGTTAAGATGCCCCTCGTTTCCAACGAATTAAAAGCTCCACTTGTTGTTGACCTGGACGCGTCTGCTTTAAATGCACAACTGAAGGATTACATTGATGATAATATTGTTTCTACTTTTACTGAAAAAATGGAAGACATCGTTAACAAAAAACTGCTCGAACTAAAAGACAGTATGCTTAACGAATATTCGTCAAAGCTGGCAAAATCAAATACCAGATATAACCACAATTTATCAGAGATGCATACAGATTACGAAAATAAATTTTCAGATCTATCAGAGAACCAAACTGAAAATGTTACCAAGTTCATGGAAAATGTTCAGGAATGGCAAAATACTATAATGCAATCAATGAATGAACAAAGTGAATATTTGCAGAAATCAAAGATTGTATACGAGAATCAGGTATCTGAAATACTGGGAAATTATAGAGATCAGACATCCCAAATATCTAAAGGTGCAATTACAAATTTTACTGATCTTAAAACGGATATGGAAGAGTGGAAAAATTATATGGTTGCTGATCTCATCAAATCAGTCACAAATAACTTAACACAATTTGAAACGAATATGATTGATGGTAAGTTTGTAAAGGCAAGTTGATTTATATGTATGTGAATCGAAAAATTATTTACTAAATTTATTGACATAACATCATGTAGGACATCGTTTAAGAAAAAATAAATTGCCAGTTGGTTCTATTTGAAATTTAATAAATGTATCTGTGTCAGTTTTGTACTGTAACAATTTTGTTTCATTAATTTTTTTTTTAATTTTGGGGGTTTTAGCGTTCTTGGTGAAGGTTCATTTAGAAAAGCTCTTTGGACGCATTAAAATTATAAAGGATTATTTCCTATTTTCTATCACTGGATCATTACTGATCACTGATTGCATGATTTAAATTAAAACATTCTTAATTTTGTCTGTTGCTAAATTAAGGAATTATTTAGAAAATGAGGTTCCAATTTCCTCAGGCAAATGTGACCTTGGATAAAATATAGGCGGATCCAGGGAGCCCTGGGGGGCCCGGGCTCCCCCCTTTTGTGGGAAAAATTTGGTTGATTATATAGGAAATCACTGAAGCATGACTGGAGCGGGCCCCCTTTATGTCTGTCAGCGTCCCCCCCCCCCCCCCTCCTTATAAAAAGTTCTGGATCCGCGACTGTAAAATAGGCCTTTTCTTTGGGATTCCGTATGGACGTATAGCTCATTCTGTATTCAAGTTTATACATTGATGCCTTTCAAATGATTCTGGTTTGAGTGTTCCTGGTGAGGGTATTGAATACAAGAAAGGCGAGTCGAACGTACCATATTGATAAAGAATTATTTTCAATTTCTGGCATTTAGGCGACATCGCTGTTAGGGGATTGATATGTCCCTTTAGTGCTTCCGTATTGCAATAATTTATAATTCTTAAATTATCCGTTGTCAATATAATGGAATTATATGCGACTGTCATACAAGTGAGAGGTTTAGCTAGCTATAAAACCAGGTTTAATCCATATTTTTCTACATAAGGAAATGCCTCTACCAAGTCAGGAATACGACAGTAGTTTTCCATTCGTTTGATGTGTTTGAGCTTTTTGATTTTGCCATTTTATAAAGGACCTTCCGTTTTGAATTTTCCTTGGAGTTTTGTTGGTATTTTTGTTATTTAACTTTTTTTTTTGATAAATAAGAAATAATTTAGAAACTTAGGTCAAACTCAGTTTAGCAAAGTGGCCCTAAACAGATTTGGGTATTTATTTTTAGGTCCCTTTTGTCATATAGCTTCTTTATTTATTGATGGCTACAAATTTTTAAGATTGATTGATTGTCTGTTTCTTAACATCAAGTGGATTTTGGGTTTGAGCGTTCCTGGTGAAGGTTTATCCAGAAAGGCGCTTCGGACAAACCATGTTTATATTTGTTATTTGCTTTCCTTGCAATATGTTGATACGCTGCTGGTGTACTGGCAGGCTCAGTAGTCAGTGTTTCGGTTTTTGTCTTGATTTGTATTTTAGTCGATTTATAATATTTGAACATCGGTAAACTGCTATTGTCTATATTAAATTAAAACATACTTTTCTTAAAATCTAATCTTATCAATACGGAATTAAGAAAAGAATGTTCCAACTGCCTTACACAAAAGAAACTTTAGACGAGTTGTTAGGTCCCCTTTGGTCATATAGCTGCTCAAGTATTCAAGAACTTGCACATCTTTTTTTTTTTTTTTTGGGGGGGGGGGGGGGGGGGGGGGCAGTAGCGTTCCTTGTGACTGTAAATCTTGAAATGCGCTTTGGACGCACCCAATTTATAAAGTGTTATTTTCAAACATTAGTTACAGAATATGAATAAGAAAAATTCAAGGAGATATATGATATAAGTTAATTTGACAGCATTACAATAGCGTTAAAATATGACATAAAACAAATATTGATGATGTTCCTAACTTTGGATAAGCTAATGAATAAGTCCGACTCTTTTTAGAATGTGGATTCGCAGGAGACGCTAAACCAGTCGACGCACCCGGTCTCGCTTTTGTTTATTTCATGCGATTCCCTCTGTTTTTTGTTTGTTACCTAATTTGTCTCTTCCTAATCGATTTACGAATTTTAAACATCGGTAAACTACTGTCGCCTTAATTCAAATATTATTGCATCTTTTTCATTTCTATTTACCAGTTATGAAATTTGAAGGTAGTAAGTTCCTCTGCTAGCTAGTATCTACAAACATACTCCCCTTTTGTGTGTGATTTTATGTTTTAATTGTAAAGATTGTACTGGCAACCTGTAAATAATTTGATAAACGGTTTCAAAAATGGTAAGCTTTTGAATTATAGCAGTTTGACATTACAAATAATGTATGAGATACGTTGAATTATGTCAAAAACTAATAAAACCAAACAGTACTAACTTATATTTCTTTTCGTTGGGACTTTGCCTGTGCTATATTTATACTATTTATAGGTTCAAAACTAGTTAAAGTAGTTGAATAACGGGTTCTTGTTATTTTGGATTTAAATATCTGGGTAAAATATGCACGTGAAATAAGTCGGTTTATAAGGTTGGGTTTCGTTAAACTAAATAAAGAAATTGTTGGGGTGTAAGTTCATCGAAGGTACTCACAATAACCACAACCGCCGTTAATTATTACATATTTATGTATGATTATAATATTTATTTTGATTTCAGTTCGTTTAAGTATATAGGACATTTTGTTGTATGAAAAATTTAAATATTGTTGTTATATTACATATTGGATTATCGTATCATATCAATTTACATTGTTTGCTAGAAAATAAAGTTACTGCGAACAACCAAATCTATACATAGATTTTTTTTATTGATACCAAAGCTTTTAGTGAAGGAATGATTTAAATTCGGACGAGCATAGCTAGGGAGAATTTTACTAATTCTATACATGGAAAGAATTTTTTTTTTTTGAATTTGTCGTTATATAACAACCCTTTTCTTGTTGACTTGTTACTTTATTTCTTTGCAGCTGACTTCATACAGGAGCTTCTTCGGAAAAATAATAGAACCTAGCAATATCCTTTAACTTCACGTTCCGTTATTTAGATTGTGCACTCTCACTAAATAATGCAAAATGTTGAACGCATCTATCCTATCGAACTGAAATGAGGGATACAATAGATACACTTAAGTCTGTCTAATATCTCGACTTGCATCTATAAATTGACAATGAGGATCGGTTGAGGTCAAAACTTTACAACAAAAGAGATGATTTCAGTTTCTCGATTGTGAACATTCCATGTCTATTTAGCAACATTCAAGCAGCGCTTGCATTTAGAGAATATATCTTCAAGTTAATACATTATTCCAGTGCTTCCAGTGCTTCCATTGCCTGTCATGATTTCTTTGATAAAGGGTTGTTCCGTACAAGGGAACTTTTAAACCAAGATTTCCAAGCGGTAAAGTTGAAATCATACCTTCGAAAATTTTACGGACGCCATCATGAGTTTGTTGACCGTTATCGAATATCTGTTTCACAGATGACGACAGAATTTGTTCCAAATGCCGTAACCACAATCCCTTCTTTTTTCCTCAAATGTGACCTACCGAAATAAACTTATCACCGGGTGTGTACTTATATAAGCAACACGACGGGTGACACCGGATCTGCTTATCCTTCCGGAACACCTGAGATCACCCCCAGGTTATTGGTGAGGTTCGTGCTGTTCAGTCTTTAGTTTTCCATGTTGTGTTTTGTATACTGTAGTTTGTCTTTTGATCATTTATCTTTTTTTCCCATGGCACTGTTTGTTTTCGACTCAAAAGTTTGAATATCCCTTTGATGATTTCGCCTCTCTTTTTCAATTTTTTATATAAGTTAAGCAAATACCATTAATATACCATTAAGTTTCTCTACATGTTTACATGTGTTTAAGTTATACCTTATGCCGTCAACCTTTCAAAGTGCTTTTAATTAATAAGTATACAATTTCCAAGAGTGCAGTTAATCTTGGAGCTCAGTATTTTTGATAAAACACTTTTTACCATTATTTATTCCTTTCGATTGTATCAATATACTAAAGCTTATTTCATACAAAATATACTTTACCCGTAGTTTTACGACCATCTCCAACTTTCATCATATTGCAACACTATTGTAATACAGTATGTTGAAGACTTACTTCCCGACATTTATTATATACAATCAGTTAAAATTCAAATAATCACAAATTGAAATAAATAGAAAATATTTTACAACAATTTGTAGATAAAGCTTATTATAAAAGTATTACAAATAATTGAAGAACTAAAATGTTTTTATTTAAAGCTTTTGAAGGGCAAAAACCTATAAAAAGCGTTTTCACAATATTAATATGAATTACACTTAAGAAAATGTTAACCGTTTAAAAAAAATATAAACATTTCCAAACTTGCGACGAATGTTTTTCCTCAAGCTAACATAACTAAATGTGTGTCAGGAAAAAAATTAAATCAGCCGTATGGATATTTTGAAGCTTTGATTGCAAAAATAAGCTTCTTTTAAACCGAGTTTTACCGTGCGTATTGCTGTGTGTTCATTCCACATTGGCAAGAGGTATAGGGGAGGGTTGAGATCTCATAAAACATGTTTAACCCCGCCGCATGTTTGCGCCTGTCCAAAATCAGGAACCTGTTAGTCTTGTGTGTTTTTTTAATTTGGTTCATTTATATCATTCGGAGTTAAGGGGAGCGTCCATTTTGCTGAACTAGAATACATTATTGTTTAGGGGCCAGCTTAAGCCCACCTCCGGATGCGGTATTTTCTCGTTGCGTTGAAGACCCATTGGTGGCCTTTGGCTGTTTCTGCTCTTTTGTCCTGTTGTTGTCTCTTTCACATATTCCTCGTTTCCATTCTCAATGCTATTCCATATAAAAATACATTTCAACCTGATACAGGAAGTCGGTTCCATAGTATACAAACATTTCAAGTATTGCTATTTCGAAATCTTTGTTTTTCTAGTAAGTGCGGTCATGGCTGCAGCAAGTATAGCTTCCAAAGCATGCAGAAATATAACTCAGGATAAGATTCTTGTTTCTTTTCAAAAGAGATGTAGTATTATTATATATATGATAGATCTAAACATAGTGATAGGTGTTATATGTGATAATCAGACTTACCCTTGATGACACTACTGAGTTTATTCATTTGATTTTAGGTATGGACATAATAAAAGATAAACTCGAAAGAATTCAACATGTTCAAGATCTTCTACCAGGTATATATAAAATGGCTTAAAAATATACTAAAAATACTCATTGGTAAATATTGAAATATTATACAAATACTATAGATACAGCTGCCTTTGACAAAATTGACTTTTTCAATATCCATTCAATGTCTAATATTAGTTAGAAAGCTCTCTATGTAGATTATATATTTGTGTTTAACAGTCTATGATTGAACGAGAAGAAAGATAAATGTTAAAAATTGCAAATACCGAAGATGATTTGGTGCAAAGAACGTCAATTTAAAAAACAAATTCTCCCAAGTTTAGTAATTGAATTTTAGTCTTTAACGGTCATTTTGATATTAACATCATCTGAAAAGTCTGAACAATAAATTATTTAGTCATGTTCAGACTTTCAATCAATTTTCAGACTTACCCACTGCGGTAAATGCAGTACTGTTCAGACAATTCGCTTGCAGTCAATTCAGTTCTACAAATTTACTGAAAGAGTGAGAAGGACTTAATGATTTATTGTTCAGTCTTTCAAGAGCTATTCAGATCAATATGACCGTTTCAGATAAAAAAAGGTTTACTATTGATGAGGGTCAGCAAACACAATCTTGGAAATCCGCACTCAAGACGTTGAAGAGCAATAAATCCAAAAGTACAAAAATGACGACTCTCTGATTGAAAGATACCTGTATATTTAGGATTTTATTTTGAAGTAATATCATTCAAGAAATGCAAGTACAAGCTAATTTGCTTAATGGGATTCATTTACCATTTAGTAAATGTTATCAAATGTTTGTTTCGTGCAACACTGATGAGTTTTGTGTAGAAAAATACTAGCATCTTTCAATATATTTTTTACCACTCATAAGGAAGGTAAATCAGAAAAGCGCTTCTAACATATCAATTTATTTTCATTTCCTTACTTTCTATTTATCAGTTGATAAACATCTATGTATGTCCATTTGTATTTTATGAAGAAGTCCGTGAGTGCTCAGATTTAAATTCAAAGTTTGCTGATGTTTACAATATCTCACTCGATGATTCACATACGTTAGAAGTAAGATGTGAGACAGGAGGCTGGACGGTACGTATTTGTAGTTTGCTATGAACATGTTGTTTATGAATAAACCATTTGAACTGAAAAAAGTAAATAGAAACAGCCACGCAATGTATGACAATTAAAAAGAAGATATTGAACTCCATTCAAAAATGTTACGGATCTATGTACAGCAATCCATCTTAAAAGATCAAAATCTACCCCTAATTAATATCGCTTTTGAGTGTGAATAGCTATATACAAAATGCGTCGTAAAAGAATAGAGTATTAACTATTGACTTTTTAACTAAATTATTACTCAAACATAACTTCTATAAACTAAACCATTCAGAATTATAGGTCTATTGTATGTTTCTGGTGGATAGTTGTCTCATTGACAATCATATCTCTCCTTATTCTTATAAAGCTGATTTTCTTAATGAATCTTACCTTTCAATAATATCCCCCCTATTCTAACAAACATGTTATTTAAACTGACATCATCAGTAAGGTTATTTATTGTATTGACAACATATTTGTTATATTTGGTGGACAAGTTTTGAAACAGACTGTTCCGCTCCTTTCCCAAACTTGGTCATTTCGTCATATCAGACCTAAATCATACAGTAGTGTCTCAAGAAGAATGAAAAACAACCATTATATGTCATCTTCACGTACTGCTTTAAAGATGATGTCCTCTCATTGAGACTTTGTCTACGTTTACCAAATTGGATTTGAAATGCAAGATAATAAAGATACTAAAGGTCTGCTTCATATCTTTACTGATATCGAAAAATAACAATAAATTGGAATTTATGTCAAAAGAGATGTTTCAGTTTTTCAATCGTAATTCTATTTTTATGTTTCAGTATTTCAGTTGGCATTTGAATATGGAGAATATAATTATATCTCCCAGTTGGTGCTATATACTGTGCGTTTGTTTCATAAAAACGTTTTATTGAAAGGGGTTTTCTGGTAATATGGAGATTTTTGTAACTAAGGTTTCTTAAAGTTAAATACAAAGTCATCAATACTAACGTTTAACAGATGCCGTCAAGATTGATTTACATTTATGGAATATTTGTGTCACTGGTTATGTTATCATGGATATGCTCACCTAGTCTTAGCCATTAGTCATTTCTAATTTCTCCTTCACGTCTTGCGTACCAAATTATAAGGCTGTTATCTTTCATGAGTTTTTCAGCGTTAAGGGGTGACGATCACTACAAATCTAGTTGACTAGTAACTATAGTTTCTGAGTTCCTTCTAATTGTTTTTGTGAAGTTTTGGTTTCTTAAACTCAGCTTTTGGTTTTGTTAACTTCTGGTTGTATTTTTGGTGACTAAAAAAACATATGATATGATTTTCTTGTACTCAACAACATAGATTTTCTTGATACTTTTTACCTTTTATTACTCCTATCAAGGAAAACTATATTAGTGACTGTAGTTATTTTATGATTGATGATATTAATTTAAAGGTCATTCAAAAGCGTTTCAATGGAGTAACAGAATTCTACAGAAACTGGCAAGACTACGAAAATGGATTTGGTGACCTAAATGAGGAATTTTGGTTAGGTAAAGTCGTTTATATATTTCCATCAACTGAAGGTGAAAAATGTAATGATAAATATACCGAACTCCAAAGTAAATTCGAAATGGGGAGAATCCATTAAAACTGACAAAACTTAACGCCCAACTAAATTAGCCAACATTCATATAAAGGCAACAGTAGTATACCGCTGTTCAATAGTCATACTTCGATGAAGCAAAAACAAATCCGGGTAACAAACTAAAACCGAGGGAAACACATCAACTATAAGAGGAAAACAACGGAACAACAGAAACACTGACTTGCTACATGTATCTTTCGAATAAAATAGTAGTTAAACCTGGTTTGATAGCTACCAAAACCTCTTGTGTGACAGCTGTTTATAGTTCCGTTGTATTGACACAATTAGGTGAGCAACCCAAACAGAGGTTAAAGTGACAATGATTGGGATTCAGAAATCAAATTTATGTAAACAAACTTTATAAATAAACAACACTACTAAAGTAAACAATCCAAAAAAAAAAACAATTAAATTTAACAAAGAGGGTATGCAAAATGAAAATAACTTCATGAAAACTAAATCGGTCCAGTTATCCCCTCTGGATCAAGATTAAATCAATAAATAGTCAGTCTATTGATTAAGGTTCAAAACAAAACGCGTTGATAATCTCCTTCTTAAATCAGTATCAATCCGTTTCACAAGTGATTTTATTTGTTGCAACCTTTGACAGCAGTCATTGTATTGATAAATTTTTCAATTAATCTAATCGCAAAATTTCAGGAAATAAGTATATCGCCTTGCTGACATCACGAGGAAAGTATGAACTGAGGATTGATCTGGAGGACTGGAATGGTGAAAAAAAATATGCTCTCTATAAAAGTTTTAAAGTTGGTGATCAATCCACTAAATACAAACTGACTATTAGTGGGTATTCTGGAAATGCAGGTAATTAATATATCATTTATCTAGAAAGCATTGTTAATACATGTACTTACCGTTTCAGAACAGCTAGTAGAAAACACATGAATAATTCGATGTTCACTCAATTCTAACAGTGACGTGTGTATAAATACTACAAAGCATTTGGAGAAAATTAGCTAACCAAGGTTTAGGCAATATATATAAATATATATTGATATTATATGATGTTATTTGCGTATGTTGAGCATATTGTTTATAGGAATATTTCAGGAAAACACTTTTATGGTTTCAACACGTGATTACAATTTACTTGGACACCTTTATATGCAATGCAAAACCAACATCATCGGTCCAAGTCTTGACTGTTAACATTTGTAACTAAACGGAAATCTGACATGAGAAATACATCAACGGATAATTCCAGAGTGTTATATTTTTTTAACGCAATGACCCAGTATTCATCAGCATAGTCTTAAATGACATTTAGTCGCAATGTATTATGTTGTAGCATTTGTGTTTTGTTGTATATATTCCGAGATTGATTCGACATCTGTTGGCCCTTTTAGAACTTACTGAGGCAGTGGGGCATCAGAATAAAAATAAGGAGATGTGGTATGATTGCCAATGAGACAACTATCCACTCAAGTTCAAATGAAGTGCATGTAAGCAATTATAAGCAACCGTACGGCCTTCAACAATGAGAAAAACCCATGCCGTATAGTCGGCTATAAAAGGCCCCGACATGAAAAATATGAAACAATTCAATTGAGAAAACTAACGGCTTAATTTATAACAAAACAACTAACAAAAACATTTATGACAGACATGAACCAACGACAACCATTGAACTACAGGCTCCTGAATTGGGACAGTCACATAAAGAATGTGCCGGGGTTAAACATGCTTGTGAGCGCTCAACACTCCCCCTAACCTGGGACAGTGGTGTAACAGCACAACATAAGAACAAACTATAAAAATCAGTTGAAAAGGGCTTAACTCATCAGATCGATACAAAGAAAAACATCAAACAGAAACACAGACAGGACGTGGCAGGGTATATACCTATCCATCATCCCTAAAATCAAAATAGGCACTAAGTACAGATCTGAGAGTACTCGCAGTTACTGACAGCTAGTTCAAAGCCAATAACAACAAATAAAAAAAATCATGAATTAAGACTACAATATCAATCAGTACACATCCAACAACCAATGGATTTAGTGTAAAGAAAAACATGACCTTGTGGAATGCCAAAATATAGGTATCGACAGATTGTAGTACCGTGAAGTACATATGTGTAATATTTAGTATAGTTTTAATTTACTGATAACAAAATCAATGTTTATACCAATAAAGACAATATTCAAAGATTCAATTACAGTGTTGAATTGGTAACCTTTTAGATTAAGTTATTTAAAGGACTGATAAGTTTACCCGGATCGTATCTAAATTTCCGGGCTCGGTTAACAACATCACCGTAAAATTTAGGATGTGCTATCCCGTTTGAAATAAGTTTTCTACAGGTACAGCCAAACTTACCAACCAAATCTTATGGAAGAATTTAGTAAAGCTTTTAAGTAATTTATGGTAACGAAATCCCTGACTTAATAATTTACTAGTTATACAAAGATTACGCTCATTGAAATCCAAAACGTCACTTCAGACTCGGGCATAGCGAACGAGTTGGGATATATAAACACCATAAGAAGGTGGCAAAGGAACATCACCGTCTAAAAAAGGAAAATTAACAACAGTGAAAGAAAAATCATCCCTTTTGTAGTAAATTTTAGTCTAGAGTTTCTGGTGTAATACTGAAATATCTAAATCTAGGAAAGGACAGTTATTGCTGTTAATATTAGATTTATTTAAAGTAAGTTCCTTTGGGTAAATTTTAGCAGTATATTTAGAGAATTCTTGATTATTTAACGAAAAGATATCATCAAGATAACGGAAAGCGTTGTTGAATTTATCAATTAAATGGAATTTAGACGGTTCTTTACTGAGTTTGGCCATAAACTGTGATTCATAACAATTTCGGAACAAGTCAGCTATTAAAGGGGCACAATTTGTGCCCATAGGAATACCTACAATCTGTCGATAAACTTTATTGCCGAAACGTAAATAAATGTTGTCAAGGAGAAAATTAAGGGCTTGAATCATCTCATCTTGCCCCCCCCCCCCCCCCCCCCAGACTTGGGGTGGCAAGTCATGTCCCGAAAACGTAATACATCCATTGTCATGTAAATACTTAAGTAAATCACGCACCATTCGATTCCATAAGTGATTTACTTCACGAATAAGTAACTTTTGTGTTAACCCTATCTAATAGAAACAAAGTGTAGATCTCTTCACCATACCCCCTCTATTTTTATCTTTGGCCTTTCACTTGTAGCAAGTTATCCCGTGACTGCGTTATATCATTTCGTGCGCATAGAACTTTGCGAGTTATTTTATGTATATGATCCCTTTGATCTGCGTATATAAACAAGATATGTATCTTATGCAAAAAAGTATAACAAAAATACAGAACTCCAAGGTTAATTCAAAAAGGGGGAAGTCCATAAAAACTGACAAAATCAAACGTTATCGACAAAAGAAACATGTTAAAAAACAATGTTATATTCCTGACTTGGTACCGGCATATTCCGAAAAAAAAACGGTGGGCAAACGGAGCGCGTGTCCACATATTTGCATAAATTAGCTCCCATGATAACAAATACTGTGAAGAAATAGCGAGAGATCGCAATATTTTTTTCAAAGTAAAAGAACGTCTCTGAAAATGGTAGGGTAATCAAATAAAGCTTTCTTTTGTGATACAGGGGGTTAGTTCATTACTAAAAGCTACATATTTGTGGAGTAAAATAAATAAGGAATCGAATGATGCATGATGTATCCCTCTCTCAATAAGTGTTAACCATTGTGGTAATTTCAATATATCTTAATCTTTTTGTTTAAAGGTGTGGAACTACATGTCCTAATGATTGGCTCTCCACCACGACTACTTACGATCGTGACAAAGATATTATCTGTACAACTCACAATAGAATTAAAACAAACTTAAATAGGGTAACACAACGGCACGTAGTTTGGAAATCATGGTTAAAATCTGCTTCTCAATGAAAGAAGCTAGCTAGGGTAACTACAGCTGTTTTGGATACTAACGCTCAAGAAAACTATAAAATCAGAAACAGACATTGTCTATTTATAACAGTTTTGTGTTTTATAAATGAAAATTACTTAAATTCTTTTTTTATTTCAGGTGATAGTATGACGTATCATACCAATGTGCCTTTCTCCACTTACGATCGTGATAACGATGCTAGATTTGAATTTAACTGTGCAGCTCACAATACAGTGAAAGGTGCATGGTGGTATAAAAGCTGTTGGAAGTCTAGTTTGAACGGAAAATATTCCAATAACTCATCTTCAGGAGGAATAAAGTACGAGGATATGAAAGGATCTGGCACACTCAAAAAGTCCTCTATGATGATCAAAAGAACTTAAAAATATTCATTAATTATAATCTATGTTTTTTTGGTTTCTTTCGCTAGGCTTACTACTGTTTTTAAAACTAATTACGCATAGGCGGATTTCTTTAGTAAAGAAATATTTATCTAGCATATCATTTTTTTCATTTTCCTGACCTTTTAGTTCAGACACTTTTAAACGACTTTGTAAAAAAGTGTGGGATGATTGCCGATGAGACAACTATATCCATTAAGGACGAAGGGATAAAGATGTAAATCATCACAAGTCACCGTACGACATTTAACAATGAATAAAACCAATGACGTATAGTGTTGTATGAAAGACACCAGAATAACCAAATATAAAACAATTCAAAAATAAATTAACGGCCCAAATTATACTACAACAAAAACGAAAACAGTTATAACAGATAGCAACCAACGACAACCACTGTATCATATGCTCCTGGCTATGAACGGGCATAACAAGAATGTGGATGGGTTAAACATGCTCAACCTTGCTCCTAACATTGAACGATGATGTAACAACACAGCATAAGTATAAACCATCCAAATCATTTGGAAAGGGTTCGAATTTGACTCGCAAGATCGGGACGAAGTAAAGAACAAATAATAAAAAGACAAAAGACAATAAAGTACTGATCTAAGCGTACTCGCATTAACTGAAAGCTGGTTCACAGCACAACGACAAAAACTAACCCATATAAATTTTTAAAAAAACATTGCCATTAGACAACCAAAAACGAGATTTCTGGTTTTCGACAGGCACATGAGTACCATCACGTGATTTGTATTCGCAGTAGGACTAACGGCTACAAACTGCATCATATAAAGCTACTTACGGAGTAATTCGACAACAGCAATGGTGCTTTAAGCTACAATGTACTTCTATTTTCTAAAAACTAATAGGTATATGAATCTTTGGTATAATGCTTTATCATCCAATACTAGTATATTAAATTCATATTTTCAGAAGTTGTTGGATGGGAGGCATGTAAGACTAGGTTGACAGTGGCGAATGTACATTCAAACTTGATAGGATTTATTCGATTCCTTTTACCTTTCATCTGTATAAGTCTCATTCCAATCAGGCAAGGGAAACTCAGGTTACCATCCGGAAACCATTTTCAAAAATGAATTTGAATTTTAGTGACAGTGACCATTAACTACACCAAAACAAAATAGCTTCTCCAACTTTTCTATGGCCTACATCTGTATAAGTTTCGTTCTAATCAAGCTTGAAAAACTTAAGTTGCAATCCGAAATCTTCGTTTTGGAAACGCAGACGGACGGACGGAAGGACTGACGGACGGACGGAATGACTAATGGACAAAGCGACGACTATATTTTCTCGAATTTGTCTTTCGGGAAGCATAATAATACAGCATGCAATGTCATCAGAGTAGTGACGCTTTTGGATTTTTACCTTTTCCTTACGTGATTTTGAGCTAAGTCATATTAAAATTCAGTGATTGATCGTTGGTGTTTAAAGCCACTTTCGGCACACTGCGCTACATCATGGCCACCATTTTTTTTTTTTTTTTGACAGAGGGAGCCATTGTAACCGATACCAGAAAAGAACTATTGACCTTTGTTAGTGACAATCATATTCGATTAAGATCGTAGTCGAACGCACCTTGTCACGAGCTTCGCAGGCTAGTAAACACTGACGATGAACTACTTTGACCACTCGGCCACCGAGTCATATTAAGAATCCAATAATCTACAGTCCACTGTGTGACATTATTATGACAATTTCTGAAAAATAATTTTTTGTTATATTCTTTGTCTATTTTGTTTTGAATTAGGCTCCATATGTCAATCCGATAGATTAGACTTGTGTTTTCCTACATGTTAAATGCTTAGCAACGACTATACGATAAACATAGATTTAGAGAACAATGTATTTGATTTTGAACAACAAACATGATAATTCTAAATATGGGATTATGAAGAACTTAGTTATTTCAAGTGCAATAATCAAAAGATATAACCAGAAAATATCAAGAAGGGGACAAAAATCTGCAAGATTAGAGATAAAAGAAAGTAGACAGACGTTTAAAATCGGTATTTTAGTTTTGATCAATTTAATGTGTCACAAATAACAAAAGACATACTTCCTTCAGAGCATCAAGTCTTTCTATACATAGTGACACCCATCCAATCAAACAAATATTATCGGTGTATTTAGGAATCACCATTTCCGATCGTCTGTCCGTCTGTCCTTCTGCTCAAGTGCCTTATAAGCACAGATTATCCTAAACGACTGGTCGAATATTAAGAAAACTCTACACAGATGTAGAAAATCACCTGCATGACCTGAGGATGTCATTGATTAAAGGTATCAATTTTCGGTTTAACATATAAATGGGAAGGTAATCTAATTTGAGTAGAAGGGGTATCCTTTTGTGAATTTTCTTACAGTTCTAGTTCCTCAACTAGAATTGACTTGACCTCGGTGTTTATTTATTGTATTTCCGTTTGGTGTTGCATGCAAAGCATGATGTAATTTGAAAATATCTACTTGTAATGGGAGAACCAATCATTGTGTCTCAATTGATTGCTGTTTGCGCTATAAAACATTTTTTTTACTATTCTATTGTTATGATACAAATAATGGTTTCTTATGATTAAGTAATCATTTTCCCACGGCATTATAAAATGTTGGTATTTCAAAGCAATTGAACAGATATCCTCTATGTTATAAGTGCTGTCAAGTACTACGAGACATTTGCACGAAATAGTACATGTTTCATTGAAGAGAAATACTTTATAAACACTTGCGAAATGTTTCTTGCTCGACATACTTATTTTGACAGCTTTATAAAATTACATTTTTCTTCTCTCTTCGTCATTTTTATGAATATTATAATCTAATATTTATGTTTTTTTTTACTGGGAAAGCTGTCAATCTAATATATTCCTTTTTATATATATAAATAACGTTAACTTATAGCTGTACAATGGAACCTAATGGATAGCAACCAGAGTATAAATCTCAATAACCGAAAATTGTACCATGGTTTTGTTGTATATGGTCTTCGAGAAGAAAATGAGAGATAGCAAAACCTGGCCGCGGCCGCCTGAATTTTTTGACATAGGAACAACAGAGTCAGTGCGGGGCCACTAAGCTAAACTACCCGCTTTGCACCAGCCGATATAAATGAATGCCTAGGGTGGGAATCGAACCCACGACGTACACCAACTCCATTGTGCTATATTTTTAAATGAACAAACATTCGCTCTCAGAACAAACAAACAAACAAATAAAGTTTAAAAAATATATAAATGTTTATATTTATATTTACAAGTCTAAATTGAAAACAACGTTCAAACCTATGATTTCGTTGGAAAAAAACCGCAATTTTTATACGTGTGCATGCAAAACAAATTTCTTGTTAGAGGGGTCTAAATACAGCACAAACAACATTTTCCAAAAGACCAAAACAGTGAAAAAAGTATATTTTAGCAAAACGCATTTGACTAGCAGGTCGAACAACAAATGTTCTTTAACCCTGCTGACTGCCATTGGCGATTGCCAAATAAACGGATCACAAGGTGTAATAAATGGATCTTAATCATTTTAATACCTAACAGAAAACAATAAACATGCGGCATATATATATATATATATATTTATGGGAAAATATAAGTTGATTTTCGAGTATTGAGATGTATACTTAGATTGTAATCCCATAGTTTCCACTGTACAGCTACATGTATAGGTTTAAATTTGCCGAGGCGGATTTTCTTTTCTTTTTTTTTTTGTGGGGGGAGGGGGGTGTCCCTTTTTAAGGAGCTTCATAAATGATGGTAAATGCATTGACTTTTCATAGTATTACTCCAAATTTTGGCTTGCTAGATTCCCCCTTTTCAAAATCCTGGATCCGCACCAGATTTGTTATACACTGCCGACATCTAGACTTTAACCAGGTTGTTTAAGTCATAACAATAATGTTGGACCGTTAAAATTAGATAGCGCCTGGTTATTCGAAATTGTCTATAGTCAACATGTGATTTTAATCGTGAAAATTTTGAAATCCCTTTTAATTAATGAACGACTTGGGCTTCTTGTACAAATTTTAAACGTGGAATGATTTATCCAAACTCTCAGAAAGATTCTTGTGAAATTAATTTCCTCAGAATTATAAATCGATATTACAAAATTTAAACATTTCAAACATTTTGATAAAATAAAAATAAAACTAACCCTTTTCAGTTCAACTTTTAATCTGCGATTCCAGAAATCTTTCAAAATATCAGAAATCTGTAGTCTCTTGCGTCCATATCCAGAACATCTAATTCCTTCAACATTTTTTCGTCGGTAACGTTATCCGTCACCAATGTAAATGTGCATCCATCGCTGTCGAAAAATCTTGTCTAACTGATATTTCCGCTGTTTTAGAAGCCCGTGCTTATTTTAGAAAATAGGCGGAGCTTTATGTGTAAGGTCCGAAAAGGGTAATTTAACTGATTCTAATCAAAATTATTTTAAAAGTAAACAGACAAAAATATATGAAATATACAATTTTAAACAGCAAAAGATGCGATAGGTTAAAACAGATATTCCATATTTTTTGGATAATTTTTCGTAAATTATACCATAGTTTTTTGTTGAAACCCCTCGTCAACCTCACTCTACTTCGTCTCGTGAGGTGATTGCTGGAGGTTTCAACAAAAGCTATGGTATAATTTACAAAACACTGAAAAACTATCCAAAAGATATTAAATGTCTATAACTTACCGACTTTTTACTTCTTAGTAAACATAATTTTTCGACAGGTTTCCTAATGTGTGCAATCGGAACTACTTGGCGATTCTCGCCACGCCTACAATAACATAATAATATTGTAGGCGTAGCGAGAATGGCCGAGTAGTTACGATTGCTAATGATAGTTACGATGGTAGGACATTCTGGTACTCAGTCAAGTAAGAGCAACTAATAAAAGTAAAATCAATCTTACTATCGGTGCAAATTAGGAAAAAATGATTGTTTTATGTTTTCGATACACAACAAAAATATCGGAAAACATTTAATTTTTTTCCAAAATTGTACCGATTGTAAGCTTGGTTTTACTTCTTTTGGTTGCTCTTTTTGACCGAGTACCAGAATGTCCTACCACACATTAG